TTTCCTTTGAATCACTTAATGAATATTTTGTTGTATAAGCACTGTTTCTGAGAACTGCTGTACATCTGTGTTGCATGGAGTCAACCAACTTCTGGCCCCTGTGAACAGGTATTCCAGCCCAGGATGATTGTACTACATTCCACAGTTCTCTATTTCTTGGTTTTGCCTCAGAAACTGCATTTTTGATGTCACCCCACAAGTTTTCTATTGGATTAAGATCCGGGAATTGGGCTGGCCACTCCATAACGTCTATCGTGTTGGTCTGGAACCAAGATGTTGCACGTTTACTGGTGTGTTTGGGGTCGTTGTCTTGTTGGAACACCCATTTCAAGGGCATTTCCTCTTCAGCATAACCTCTTCAAGTATTCTGATGTATTCAAACTGATCCATGATCCCTGGTATGCGATAAATAGGCCCAACACCGTAGTATGAGAAACATCCCCATATCATGATGCTTGCACCACCATGCTTCACTGTCTTCACAGTGTACTGTGGCTTGAATTCAGTGTTTGGGGGTCGTCTGACAAACTGTCTCCAGCCATTGGACCCAAAAAGAACAATCTTACTTTCATCAGTCCACAAAATGTTGCGCCATTTCTCTTTAGGCCAGTCAATGTGCTCTTTGGCAAATTGTAACCTCTTCAGCACGTCTTTTTTTCAACAGTGGGACTTTGCGGGGGCTTCTTGCAGATAGCTTGGCTTCACATAGGCATCTTCTAATTGTAACAATACTCACAGGTAACTTTAGACCTTCTTTGATCTTCCTGGAGCTGATTGTTGGCTGAGTCCACGCCATTTTGGCTATTCTTCTATCCATTCGAATGGTAGTTTTTCACTTTCTTCCACATCTTTCAGGTTTTAGTTGCCATTTTAAAGCATTTGCGATCATTTTAGCTGAGCAGCCTATCATTTTCTGCACCTCTTTATATGTTTTCCCCTCTCCAATCAACTTTTTAATCAAGGTACGCTGTTCTTCTGAACAATGTCTGGAACAACCCATTTTCCTCAGAATTTCAGAGAGAAATGCACTGTAACCAGCATGTACAACATTTGCTGCCTTCCTTCCTTAAATAAGGGCAATAATTGCCACCTGTTTTTCAAAGAATGAATGACCTCGCTAATAGAACTCCACACTGCTATTATTTTGAACATGCCCCTTTCAATTAGTGATTCAATTACACAGAATCAGCAGCATGCATGTCATGACTGTTGGGTCTGTTGGATTTCTATTACTCTACTACACCTGCTAGTAAATTATTTGCCATGTAGAAATATCATTTCTACCAAAAACAGTGATTGATCAGGTTAGTGATGTCTGACTGCTATTATTTTGAACACAACTGTATATATTGAAATTAGTTTTTTATATATTACAAAATATCTGAAAATTATTTTTAAAAATACATTTTCAAATATACTGTATGTCTTTAACCACCTCTTGTCCGGCCGTTGTATATAAACGGCCGGACGGTGGCAGTGCAGGGTCGGGTGCCCGCTGTGTCCTCCGGACACAGTTGAACACCGATAATTGGACGGGACCTGCGAGGTCCCGATCATGTGATCACTGATTGGCCAATCAGTGATCACATGCAGAGTAGTAAGGAAGATGTCACTTGTGACATCATTGCTTACTACGTGTGAAATCTGTGAATGATCAAAGAGGTCACATGGTACAAGGCTATTCACAACAGCCTTGTACCATGTGACAGGTTGTGACCAATCACAGCTCACTCAGTAGTTCTCAATGGCTGCAAGAATGCAGCTAGAGAGAAGGAAAAATTATTGCTTTTACAGCCTTTATGGGTGTAAAAGCAATCAGTGTAAAAAAAAAAAAAAATCGGTTTCATCATCACCCCTCACAAGTAGTACAGTATTTACTATGGTGATGCTATACTGCTAGGGTGACAGTATATTAAAAAAAAAATTATATATATATATATATATATATATATATAATATATATATATATAAAATAAAAATGTAAAAAGTAGTTTTTTTTACCCCCCCACAAGTAGTACAGTGTCTGTACTGCTAGGGTGACAGTATGTAAAAAAAACAAAAAAAACAAAAAAAATGTAAAAAAAAAGTTTCAAAATTATAATTTTTGGTTATAAACTAATTTGGGATATTTTTTTTCACTAATAAGATAACGGAATAAATTTTGGCCAAGATTTATGATGAAATACTATTTATTTGCAAAATGTTATAAGTAAAACACTTTTTTTCAAAATGTTTGGACATTTTAATTTACATAGCAAAAAAAATAAAAATCCCAGTGGTGAATAAATACCACCAAAATAAAGCTTTATCTGTCTCAAAAAAATGCTGAAAAATTCATATGGGTACAGTGTTGCATGACCGCGCAATTGTCATTCAAAGTGTGATAGCGCTGAAAGCTGAAAATTGGCCTGGACGGGAAGGGGGTAAAAGTGTCCGGACTGGAAGTGATTAAAAATACATTTACTCTACATTTTTGGAATGCATTTACAAATATATGTAAAAATATATGTTAAAATGACTTTTTTGTACGTTAAAAAAATCTGAAGAATATATTTAAAAAAAATATATTTTGAAAAATATTTTTCATATATTTTGTAATATATAAAAAATTGCATTTCAGCACACAGTATATATATATTGAAATATATTTTGAAACACATTGAATATGGCCAAAATTGTAGTATTTCAAATATATGTCAATATATTTGTGGAGAATATTTTTAAAATATATTTAAAATATATTTTTCTTCCATGTGGGATACATCAGTCCATTGGTAACATATGCCTCCACATACGCCAATTAAAATTTTGTCTCAGCTTCCAATGTTTATAGATCCCTCGGTGATACATTTCTATTCACTGTAACATTTGATTAATTCATTGTAGATATGAGGATTCTGTATCAGGTAACACTACAAGATCATTTAAAATCCATGTTTGGCTTTTACCATCTGGGATTGAGATCGAGATGAGATGACCTTCTCAAGTATTAGCTAAGACTTTAAAAGGGATTAGATTTTTTTCCTGTTTCTCCCAACATTAGAAAATCTATTTTGGGCACAGTTTTTCCATAAACCCACATCCATTGTGTCAACAGAAAAAAACATCAACTATGTAAATAGTATCCATTCTCTACCTTATTTTCTTACATTTTCATATTCTTGCATATCCTTTCCTGATGGTTACATTTTTCTTGTTACCATAGTGCAACTCTTGCTGTTTGGAATGTTGGATGAGCATTTGTAGACAACTGATGGTTGTTGCATTTCTCCTGTTACAGTTTTTTATTTCCTTTTGGTCTTGTACCAGACAATTGAGCAATATGGAACATCCTAAATTCTCCATGTATTTGTATAAAGAATGCAGCATAAATCTCAGTTTTCTTTCTGATAGATCTTCTTTCCCCATAAAAGATTTAAAGTCACAACAGATAACTCTTAGATTGTAAGCTCGAAAGAGCAGGGCCCTTGATCCCCTCGTGTATTGTTTTGTTACTGTATTGTCTCATGTTCTGTCCCCCACTATAATGTACAGCGCTGAGCAAACCTTTTGGCGCTATATAAATACTGTATAATAATAATAATAATAATAATAATAGATAACATACAACTAAAATTAAACATTTATTTTTTTAGAATTCAAAAGCCTCATTATATTCTTAAAAAAATAAGAATTAGTTTTAGATAGGGATATTCCATTAAGGCTATTGTAGCTCTGGAAATAATCCTTGAGCCTTTACAACCACTTTAAAGTTAGAAAAGGTAAACGAAGTCTTGAAATACTAACCATGGCTGCAGAAATTGCTGCCATAGAATTCTACAGTGGCAAAGCATGTGAGAAGATGCATATGCACTTTTGCAACTTAGGGCTCATGTACACTGCAGCTGATAAACTCACATTCAGGAGCTGTTCAGCAGCCCCTCAACTCTCCCTAATGTTTTCCTATGTGTCCATGTACACTATGTCGTTTACAGGCAGTTGAGTTTACAGTCGTTTTTTTGAACGCAGAAAACGTGCATTCAGCAGTAGATTTTATCAGCGTTTCAAATGCAAAACGCTTGTAAATGCGGCTAAAAGCGGAAAGTTTATAAGCGTTTGCATTTGAAATTTTTTTTAACTCTTACATTTCCAGATGCTGTCCAGATCCTTTTTTCATCATGAAAAATGCATGCAAAGCGTTTTTTTTCCGGTACTCAAATGGACCTGGCACACCATACTTTGCATGAAAAAGCAGCATGTTTTGCATGAAAAAAAATATGTTAGACACTGCTGCAATAATTTCTGCACAGAAATGATCTGGAAGACATCCAAACACCACGAAAAAAAAAAAGACAGCTAATCTCAAGAAATACTGCTCTCTCTGCTTCTGCTCTCTCTCTCTGCTTCTGCTCTCAAAATGTCTGAAATAGTTATTTTTTTACTGTTTTTTAGTGCATTTTGGGCATTTTGGAAGGTCTCCTGAAGTTATCTTAAAAAAACGCTTAACGCAAACGCTCATAAACAAGCATAAACGCGGTATGCAAACGCAACTAAACAGACATTTTTTAATCTACGTTTCCAGCAGTCAGTTTCCATCATTCAGAAGTGTCCCGTGTACATGGGGCCTTATGCTGATGAGGAAAATCAGAATTTAGATTGGCTGATCCTCCTTTTTATAAGAGATCATGTGACAAAAATTCTAGACATCTTGCCACATGTGATTCAGGGCTATTGTTTCCTTTTCTTTCTTTTTTTTTTTTTACGTTTAAGGACTAGTACAGGACGGTTTATCGTTCGGTCTTCTCTAAAGTTGATTAATGTTTATGGATGAAGTTAGATCATGCTTAATTATGTTTGTAATTATGGTATTGTAGATTTCCCATTGACTAAGGTGCCTTTCACTAGTCAACCAGATAAAGCCATCATGCTAAATGTTCCATACTGTAACTGAACAAAAATGCATAGCAGGTACATTCCCTACGTCTGCCATGATAGTTGGTTCTTATGACTGTTCCTCCAGGTCACCATGGTACAGTCTGTCCTTTCCAATTCAGAAACATTCCATTATGTTTTTTTTTCCGTTAGGGTGTCGAATACTTTCATCATACCACCCACACTATCATGAAGCTTCAGGGGAGCCTGTGAGAAAGATACATGTTAACGCAAGAACAAAAATATCTTTTTTTAGGAGGAAAGGGGAAAGACATTTTTAAAAAATAAAAACAGCCTTTTGAGAGCTCTGCATCCATAGTCCATGCACAGATGACATGCAACACTTGTAGATAATGATCTGCAGTCAAACGTACTATATTCTTTTAGCTATAGCTACAGGCCACATTACCTGTTGATAGCAATGGTATGTTCTAGGTTGGTTTGGTTATTAATGACCCTGGTGCGTGATGGCCAGTGAGTAACCTGCCACCAGATGATGAAGAAGACATCTGCCACTCTAAGCCTGGGTTTACATCAGTGTGGTGCAGTCAATCTCGTTGTGATTCGCACAGAAACCGCAAATCCTGTGATTTGTATGTGGTGCAATTGGAGCCATACATTTTGTATGGCTCTATTCGCACCGCACCCACACCAAAACGTGCAGGACCCTTTCTTGGGTCCGCACTAGAATCAGATCGCATAGGTATTCACACCTATGCGATCTGATTCTGCAGATCGCACCATGTTTGCAGACCGCTTTCGGGGTGTTGTTAACGTAGCCTCCCTAGTGGTCTGATTATGTCAGTATTTCTGTGCTCAAAGCGGTATAAATTTTTGCATGGAAATATGTATTTTTTTTATTGTAGGCCTGTAATTTTTAGGAATAACTCACTGAAATCTGTCCGAACAAGAATTTAGTAATCATCCCGGGTATGATAAAATTTGAAACACGAAATCATAAATTATAATTTAATAAAAAATAATAATATAATAATAAATTTAATTCAATAATATAATCAAACCAAAAACACTGAAATTTGAAATATAGCGCCAAGTTCGCACATCACTGAGCAAAGTCGCAAATCGTTTTCAGTGTCTGATGACGAATTTCCCCACAAATCATTACACTGTTCAACAAATTTTTATTTTTTGCCAGTTTTGGAAACAAAAGGATCCATTTCTTAATGAATTTCACATTCTGAGTTCAAATATAACAATGAAATTTGTCAATTGGCTCTAGTTTTTCTGTAAACGGAAAGTTTTCTACTATAGGCGTAATGACTACATAATGCACAATAATTATATAGATAGATGTCTTTCCACAAATATAAAGCAAGTGATATTGACTGCATAACAAAGCCTAAATGGCATAATATATTGCATAGGATTACCAAGAAAAATTATAGCCATAAGCTACGTTGAATCATTTTAATACTTAGGATTCTCACTAGTTTTGTCTTCAGTTTGTGTCGGTTTTGCTTCTCTTGGCTTTTCTCTTGTATTCGAGGAAAGGGCTATCTCTTACAACTGCACGTGACTACACGCTTCAGGTTCTTCCTCACTTGACTCAACCACGAAGGATTCTGGTGCTTTAGGAATTGGTAGCCCCTCTCCATGAGGAACTGGACGTATTGCCGATGGAATATTTGGATAGTGCACAGATAACTTTTTCTTCTTATTTAGCCCTTTTACAATTGGAGGCACCATACAAAAGTAACAATTACTAACATGATCTGTTGGCTCTCTCCAAATCATTGGCACAGCGAAAGGCATAGATGCCTTTTTTCCATTCAACCATTGCTCCAGTGCCGTCCCACAAGAATTGCAGCATATATGTGGTGCCCAGCTCTTGTCCTGGTCTCCTATCTTGCAGCCAAAATACAAGTTGTAGGCTTTCTTAATCATTCCTGTTATCCTCCTTTTTTTGTGAGATAAAAGTTATTTCACCGCAGATATAGCAGAAATTATCTGCTTTATTCACACAAGTTCGAGGCATTACTGAGTAGCCTATATAAGCATAAAACGAAATGTAAAGACGCTGTCGAACTACAATCAGCTACAGATACTGCAGCTTTTATGCAGTGAAGTGATGCAATTAAAGGCTAATATTGCATCATCTCAGTATACATGCAATTTTCTATTGGTCACCAGTATCAATTGCGCAATATGCAGCTGAAGTTGCATCATAATTTTGAATGGCTTACGTCATTAGATGGGTGAATATATCATGGAAACTAGAGCCAATCAACATTTTTTAGGGTCATTTTCGTTTTCAGCACCCCAAAATTATGTAAGATTAGCTAATTTTATGCCCAAAACTTTTTACCTGTTGAACAGTGTTATCACTCAATTCTGCAAGTGGTTCTGATTTACTATCGCTGTTCTCACGCCGGTCTAAAACCTCTTTTGACCTAAAGGGACACTTTTTGGACACCATGGACATTTCTCAGTTTCCAGTCAGAAAGAACAGTAAAAATGCAGGCAGGGCACAGGACAAAGCACTCGGGCCAAAATGTATGTGAAATGGTTTTATACAGTAATGTTTTACTATGTGATTTTAGTGTATTTAATGAATGTCACTTTTTCACATTTTTGAATTTCCCGCCAGTTTCGTCCCCCGTACGTCCTGACGTCGCAGGGAACAAAACCCAGAAGACAGATGCCGGCATCGGCCGGAGGACATTGCTGGGGACACTGCAGGAGGGACATCGCGGGAGCGCAGGACAAGATAAGTTCAGAAGAGATCCCGGAGCAATGCTGCAAGGTATTCTCGAGTGTAGCTCGGGGTTACCGCTTGTGGTGCTGAACCTTTACCCCGAGCTACACTCGGGAATACCTGCAGGGAGGTTAACATACACACCCACAGCGGTTCACATGAACGGGGTGCGATCCTGATGTGGTGCAGAATTCGCACTGAAAACGCTGCAAATTCCGCACCGCATGAGTGTGAACAAAGGGCTAAGGGGTGCTCTCCGAAATTGAAGGGATATCCTTTATTTACTGTATGGGCATCTCTTGCCCCAGAGCAATAGATAGTACAGTTAACTGGGGCTACAACTAACTATTATCTTCATAATCGATTAGTTAGCCAATTATTGTTTCGATTAATCGTTTAAAAACCTCAAAAAGCACGGTGTATAATTTAGTTAATATGTAAAGTTTTAAAAAAACGACAAGTTATTCTTGAATATCTTTCTTTTGTATCACCTGTCATGATGGGGTTAAAAAACAAAAATTAGTATAAAAAAGCAGATACTCACTGCTATAAGAGATTCATTTATATTGTGAAACAGTGAAAGCAATAATATAAAACTTATATCAAATAATAAATACACCCAGAAGTAGCATATGCAGGGTATTTTAACTGAGAGTCAGACGTGAGGCTATATGAGGGAAGGAGAGGGAATATAAATCTTTTTTTTATATTAAAGTACTGAAGGCGGAGACTTTTTGTTATGGATATATTCATTTGAAATATATTGCACAATACTGGTAAACGTTTACTTTAAAAGGAAAGTTCACCTTTGGAACATGTTACATGTTCCACCAATTTTAGGGTGGAACATGCAACATGCTTCCACTGCTGCAGCCGCTGCCTGATACGCCCTCTGAAAGCAGTACGAGGAGAAGAAGTTCCATGTACTAGCTGTCACTTTTTGAAAACAGTATGGCCGTGTCAGGCCCTGCCCACACAGCCACGTCATTCATTTGTGGAATTCTGTGAATGAATGAACTACAAGTCCCGGCAGCCTTTGCAGCTGTCAGCTTGTACTTCTCAATGAACTACCACGGCACTGTTGAGTGCTATGGTAGTTCACGGAGTCTTCCTGTCAGACTATATCTGCTTGCTCGGGATGTACAGGCACACAGATACACTGACAGTTTGCAGGAGTCCTGCATTGCACCAGCAATCTGATGATTGCTCCTGAAATGCTTTCCAGACTCAAAAAAAAAAAAAAAAAAAAAAAGGAAATGCATGTTTGTTTACCTGCAAAAAAAATGGGCATTTATTTAGTTATTATTTATTTATTTATTTTATTTTTTAATGTGAACTTATACTTTAATTATAATTGTAATGTCTTATATTGCCTTCTGTCTATCAGTCTCCAGCTTCTCTGGGTTCAGATGCTGATCTTCCCTGCACAGAACCGCTAAAGAAATTGTAAACATTGGATTTTTTTAAATTAACAAACTTGTCATACTTACCTGCTCTGTACAATGGTTTTGCATAGAGCAGCCCTAATTCTCTTCTGGCGCTTTTGGCTCCTCCTGCCTTCACAGTGCCTCCATAGCAAGCCACTTGCTATGGAGGCACTCAAGCAGGCTCAATCCCTAGCTGCACTGTGTGCTTCTGTTGACACACACAGTGCAGCTTGGTCCCACCCCCTGCTTCCTGCTCATAGGCTGTGATTGACTGCAGCAGGAGCCAAAGACTTCTGCTGCTGCATCTGAGGTCTGTGAGGAGGAAGAGGTTAATGCTGCTGCTCATGTGTACAGCTCTGGATCAAGGTTGGGATCTGGTAAGTATACGGGGGGGGGGGGGGGGGGGGTTGTCAAGGATTTTAAACCTTGATGCATAGAATTAATTAAGGTTAACAAATCTTCTGCCTTTAGAATCACTTTAAATCATTTCCTTCTCTTGCCCAAGACTACATGTCCCATTAGGCACTGCTCCTCACAGATTCAAAAGTTCTCAGGCACTTACTGACATGTATGGATGTTGTACTGAGCTGTATGTGTGCTGCACTGTGTTACATGTAAACAAATAATACATTCTGTATGCAGGTCAACTAATCAGCTGAACAACTAACTGATTATGAAAATAGTTGACAACTATTTTTTATTATTGATTATACAGATTATCTGTTTCAGCCCTACGATTAACTGGAGAACCACTAAAAGCAGGGCTGGGACAAGGGGTGGGCAGGAGGGGCAGCTGCCCAGTGCTCGCAATAGAGCAGTGCATGCATCCTCACCGCATGCAAGCTCCAGATCAGTGGCTAGTAGCCAGCGGGCCACAGGTTCATGTTTACTCTGACAGCTACTGCTGTCACTCTGTGCTCCAACGTTCCCGTGAAAGCAAGCGACTGACCATTGCCCATGACAGAACACACTCCACATCAACCATGGACAGCCAAAGCAAGTGGGGCCAAGAGTGGGCACAAGTTGGTACACCCATTCTATGATATGTATTAGAAGGGGGGGGCACAATTCTGTATCCTTGCCCTGGGCACTGGGCAAACCTGTCCCAGTACTGACTACATGGCTACCATTTACCACATTTGGTACCACTGCGATGTCTAATTTAACCTACCTTTGGTCCTCCCATATCTGTTTGAACCCAGCCAGGAGCAACTGCCACAACAGTAATCCCATCTGTTTTGTAGGTCTCAGCCTGACAACGTGTTAACATGTTCAGTGCAACCTAAGGGAATGATAATATTCATACTATGAGCAATGCATAAACAGGATAAATCCACAAAATAATTAAACCATCATTATAGATAATGTTTCAAAAGAGAAAATAAGTAGTAAAATTGCATATTTTTGTAAAATGCTTTCCTTCTTCAAATAATAGCAATAAAAACATATCAAGTTTTTATCACTGTGTCTTTACTGTGAAGGTTATCTCGCATTTTTTGATATTCATCTTTAGGACAGGAAGTATGGAAAGCATTACCCAGTGGGGGCATAGAGAGCAAAAAAACTTACGTGCAGAAAAACTGCTGTAAACTGACTCGCAGATTTCTCTTGCAAAGACATAATTTTTCATTCACGCTTCAATGGGTTTTATGCATGTTGCAGATTCCTGCGCAGAAAAAATCTGCACGTGGTACTAGTGTTGTGGTGTGAACAGGGCACAATGGATTTCGTTGTGTCCTTGCAGAACGCGTGCAGAAAAACTGACGTCTCTGCACCATGGTGAGAACGAGCCCTTATCCATTACATCCAAAACAAAAAAAAAAAGACAATTTTGGCTGAAATTGAATGTTGAACAGTTGTCTTCTATAAATATTTAAATCGGAACGCCAGCTAAAAACAATTAGATGACAATGAATAGACCATTAAAGATAGAATAACAAAACCAGCTTTTGCTGCAATATTGAGCTTCAATCTAGGGCAGACATTTCAACAAGGGTGTGTGAAATTCTAGGGTTTCTCAAAAGGTTGTTAAAGGTTTCCTAAGCTGTGGCTGATTAACCTCCTATTTGATGGTGCCCAGGGTAAGTGCTAGACTATTTTGTGCCCTAGGCAAGACCAGCTACTTGCTGTCCCCTCCGCTCCCCCCAAAAAAATAAACTAAATAAATACAATTTCACCTTTAGTTCTACTTCACCCCCTCCTACCACACATCCTCTTTCCCCACAAATCCTTTCCCTCAAATCCCCCTCCTAGCATAAATCCTCCCAATCCTGCCTCTTAGCAAAAATCCCCTTAAATCCCCCCTCCTAGCACAACCCCCTCCAAATCACCCATCCCAGCACAAACCCCATCCCCCCCAACACAAATGTCCCAACCCAATCCCCTCTAGAACAAATTTCCCCAATTCCACCTCCTAGCACAAATCCACACAATCCTCTTTCTTCTATCCCCCCACCTAGGACACATTCCCCCAAATCCCTCCTCTAGCTAAAACCCTCCAAAACTATCCTTCCTCCCACCTTACACAAATTCCCCCCCCCCCCCCCCTTTAGCACAAATCTTCCCCACCCCACCTCCTCCCACTTCTCCCTCCTACTCCTAGCTCATATCCTCCATTCCTTCTCCTAGCACAAATCCCCTCCCCCAATCATCCCATTACCCATCCGGACACAAATAGCCCCCATCCCCCCTCCTGCACAAACCTCTCAGCTCAGCACAAATGATTGTAACCCCCCTCATTTCATTGTGTACAGTTCCGCCAGCATGTAAGCCCCCCCCCCCCAAACTTACATGCGGGAAACCAGGTAGAATTGCAGTGAACATGCCGAGCGATCCAGTGTCATCTGGTTTATGGAAGATCGCTCTACTGACAGGAGAGGAGAGCACAGACCGCATCTCCCAGCTCTTGCCTGTCATTTCTCCTTTCTAGGCTCCACTGCTCCAGGCTGTTCTCCCCTTGTCCCAGCTGTAAGTGCAGGGATAAGAGAGGGCACTTAGCAGCCAGGCATAGCATTCATTGGAAAGACCAACCTTGGGGGATACAACTGAAACCTGGGGAGGCATAGTCCACTCCAGCACCCCCCTAGATCTGGCCATGGTGGAAAGTAGGGAAACCGTTGGCCATGGCTGTGCCCTAGGTGGCTGCCAAGTTCGCTTAGTGGTAGTGCCAGCACTGTGACACCATCTGAATGAGCCCCCCTGCGCCTCTCTGCTACTCCCCGAGCCCTGGACACCACTGGAGTGGCGGGGATACCCCTGGAGTGCGGCCTAGTACATTCTGCTCCACCGGACCTCCATTCCTTATGACATGCCTACTTACTACCTACTCTTGTGAGTGCATTTACCATTAAATTTGCCTGTTTTGAAACCTTCTGCACTTAGAGTGGCACCACTGTCTCTCTTCTCTACCTGCATAAAGGAGTATCTACAAGCTCTTACAGCCGGCTGCCTCCTTTCACAAGCCCACATACTCACAAGCCTTCCATTAAAGATGGACTTGGACGATATTTTCACATGGACATTTCACTAACTTTAACCAGCCATGGTCCACCCCCTACAAGGTAGATAATCCAGCGATCCCTATCCTCATTTGTTTTAGTAGTACAGAGACTGGTGAACCATTAGAATAAAAACTTTGGAATTCGGGAATGATTAATATGTCATGTCCTCCACTTTGTTGAACACCAAAAGATGTTGTCCTTCCATTTTTTTTTCACTGGTATAAAGACAAATATTTCCAGATTTACTCTGGGTGCAACTGATATCTAGTTGATTTTTATGGTCCTGATGAAGATGGAGTGCTGAGCCCCAAAACGTGTTGGCTGCCTTGTGTAAAAAGACAATTGGTCTATGTTCATAATTAGATATATATCCTCCTTATACCCTCAAAAAGTTAATACTTTCCACCCTAGAAAGTGTTAAATATATATAAAAAAAACCCTTTTGTGATGCAAAAAATCCCAAATTAAATTCAAAATCCTAAATATACCAAATAATAAAATACACCAAATCAAAAATAGTCCAATGTGAAATCCAAAAATATGTCCAAAATACGTCCAAAATAAATCCAATACAGTGTCCAAATTTCAATCTTTTTTTCTCCAATCTGTGAGAATTATTCCTCCAAACAAGTACCTCGAGAAATAAAAATAAACAATCTAGTGCAATTCAATTAATAAAAGAAAATCACCCCGTGAAACTCCACACTTCACTGCAAAAATTTATCAATTTGTGAAAAAAAAAAAATATATATATATATATTTAAATTAAATTATACCAATCTTATTTTGTAATAGTGCAAAACCACATCAATCCAAAGTGTACACACTCTGTGATCTGTGACTTATGTTCATAAGTTGTAGTAGGGCATTCTGAGGGATCAAATCTCATTATCAGGATTTATTACGGAGACTGAATGTATTCAACATGAGTGGTTGTCAACACCATATACGATATTCAGACAAGTACACTTTAAAAGTTGTTTCTCAGTAGGTTTATACTGCAGCTGACAAGCATGAATGTTTCAGAAGATGATAAACAAGACTGTTTAGTTACCTTACTGCAGCGGTATTCAAAAATAGGTTGTACAGAGAATTCAAGTGGTGTTCTCTCTATAGATGCAGCACCACTGGATATGTTTACCACAGCAGCCTTGCTGCAGCTCTTGACTTCATTAGGATTTTCCTGTGCAGCTTTCTTCAACAAAGGAAAGAATGTCTAAAGAGGGAAAGATTAATAATATACCAAGGATGACTTGTCAACCAAAGCAAACATTTGTGAAAATCTGAACATACATATGCAATGCTATATAAATGTAAAGTAGATATATAAACAAACTTCCTGTCCTCATTGGACGATTTCAACTTTATTTTGTAAAAAATATATGTATTACTTTATGCAGGACTATAGGGGAACCCAAAATTCAGCAATTCCTAAGGGGGCAGTGCTACAGACAAGCAACATGCATTTTCTTCAGACCTTGTACACTGGAGACAGTAAACAGTCCTTGGTTTTATATTTTATTAAGAAGTATTAAATTTGGATGGGGTTGAGGGATACATGGGATGCCCAAGGAAACTGTTAAATGGAGGACAACTTCCTGAAAGGCCATAGAAGGGTTCCTTTTCTTGGAGAACTCTCCAACCTCTCCTGACAAACAAACCCAAACCCCAGATAGTTCTCCTCTATCCAGCTATCTGGAGGAATCCCTGGACAAAAGGGATCTAGAGCCTGCAACTCTGAAGCACAGTCCAACTGGGGGCTAGTTAGGTTTCCCACCCAAATGCCCTCTCCCCTACCCTGGTTCAGGGGGTGTAGAAGTACTCACTGCCCGTCTTCTGCAAGCTGCAGGTTGGTTGCTGCCTTCAGGCCTTCTGCTGGGCTGGCTCTTTTCTTAGCTCCACAGATGGTCCTCTCTCAGGGGGCTGGTGGGGTTCAGCTTTCCCTCTGTCCTACTCCTTCCTAGAGGCAGGCCCATTCCCTGGGCCCCCTCCCAGGCTCCACACTCCAGCTCCTGCTCTCACATCTGCCACCTGAACTGCCATGCTGCTGAGTAGGCTCAGTCACTCTTAAGGGATGTGCTGACTGACTCCATGCCAAACCTCCCGCTTAGTGATTGGTCAGGATCCCTTAAGAGTGCAGACCAGCTCCTCCTCACAACCGCCCACTGAGTTATAGAGACTTCTCCAAGTCTCTAGATCGGGGGAGTTATCAGAGAGCTGATCTGCAGAGCCTCTCAGCCCTAACCCAAATTTGACTATCACCCAGGCTGCTACTCAGCCCTCTATCGAAAAAAAAAAAAATAATCAACTAGTTCCCCCTAGCTAACTAGGAGGGTGCTACACTTTATTATCTTAAAGCGTTATTCCACCTTTGGTGAGAAAAATACAATGCCCTCTGGGTGATCCATGTACATTGCAAGGATTTTAACAGCCTTTTCAGTCCAACCTTTTCCTGTTCAGAAGAAAAAAAGTACTTTGTTACACTATGTCTTTGCAAGACTGATTCCTGAATAAGAGGGGTTTGCACTCATAACCATCTCGTGCACTTTCAGTGTTTTAATCAGCAAACATAGCAACGAGAAGTAATTAACTGTCAGCGAGTATCTCACCAAAATCAAGTTCCTATTACAGATGATGGCCAAATTGTACTCGTATCTTAGTGCAGACACCTGAAAAAATGACTAAGCCTGTCAAACAAGCAGGAAATGACATTTCCTGGGGGTGTTTTGTACACTATCTTTGTACAGACCAAACTATTGATTGCCAGCACACCATGGATCCTTGAGATATTTTCCAAATGTTTTATATGGGTTTCTTGTCTTCCCCCCAGCCCGGACACCACCCCCCATTGACTTCTCCATCACATCCAACAACGCCACCATCAAACCCGCCCCGCAGGCCAGAGTACTTGGTGTCATTCTGGACTCCAACCTATCCTTCCAGCCCCAAGTCCAATCTTTAACAAACTCGTGCAGACTCCACCTCCGCAACATCGCGCGTTCCTAACTCCAGAAACCACTAAACAGCTCATCCACTCCCTCATCATATCACGACTCGACTACTGCAACTCCCTCCTCACTGGCCTGCCTCACCGCTGGCTATCCCCGCTTCAGTCGATCCTGAATACGGCTGCCAGACTCATTCACCTTTCCAACTGCTCCGTTTCCGCCACCCCCCTCTGCCAATCCCTCCACTGGCTTCCGATTCCGCAACAGATCAAATTCAAAATCCTAACACTGACGTACAAAGCCGTCCACCACACTGCCCCGAACTACATCACTGACCTAATAACCAAGTACCGCCCAGCACGCACACTCCGCTCCTCACAAGACCTCCTTCTCTCTAGTTCACTGGTCTCCTCCTCCCATGCCCGCCTCCAGGACTTCTCCAGGGTGTCACCCATCCTCTGGAACTCCCTGCCCCAACCCATCAGATTATCACCTACTCTCCTCTCCTTTAGGCACACCCTGAAAACCCATCTCTTCAGGGAAGCCTACCCCCTGCTAACTTGCCGACCTCCTCCACTCTTCCTACAACTCCATCCCCCACAGCTATCTCCTCCTGTGCCACCATCCCCTCCCTCCTAGATTGTATGCTGGAAAGAGCAGGGCCCTCGATCCCCTCATGTTTTGCATTGTATTGGTATTGTTCTGTCACATGTTCTGTCCCCCTTTGTAATGTACAGCGCTGAGCGAACTATTGGTGCTTTATAAATACTGTATTATAATAATAATAATAATAATAATAATAATATGATCACGTCTAATTACAAGTCAACAATCCTCATTTGAACAGTGAAAGTGCACCAGGTGGCTATAGTCAGTGCAGACCCTCCAAATCAGGAATCAGTCTTGCAAGGACATAGTGGAATAAAATGCTGATGAACGGGGTTCTTTGTGGCCCTGAAAGTCACACCTTACTTATGTGTTGTGATCATCTAAATAAACATTTGGGCATTTTCTCAAGGATTCATGGTGTGCTGGTGATATATACTTTGGTTACCAGTATCCAGCTGGTAGTAGCTAAAGCACCCATTTACTTTTGGTCACTCCCAGGAACGTGCGCAATGGAAATATTATACACGGTCATCTTTGTACAGAACTTCTCCAGGATGCCATATGGCATTGAATATTTTTACAGTTTTTGAAAATTGCTTGCACCCTTCAGACTAAACTGAAAAGGTAATTTTTAATACCATGAAATGACAAAATGGCTTGTGTGGCAATGTTAATATTACTTTTTGTCTGAAAGTGGAAGTAGTTGCAAAGGTATTGTCAAATCAATAGGCCCATAGCGGAAATGTAAAAATTGCTCTCGTCTATAAGGGATATCAAGATTAAATATTGAAACAGAATACTCTGTTCTAGACCTACTTATTGTCCCATGTCGTAATTGTCCCATGTATTGCATGATAACCTAGCAGTTTCTTGGGGTAACACCCTGGGTGCCTCCCCAATCCACCTTCCCAATGTGGGACACATCACCTATGTGTACATAAAGCACAACTACAACTAAAAATACAAAATAAAAATGAATAGCTAAGAAAAAGATTAAATAAAAAAAACAGCTTTTGCTTCCATTTTCTGCTTCAGGGATTTCTCTGGCCATACAAATTTTCTTTTTGTAGATGTTCTTAGTTTGATGGGTACAAGGAATTGTCAAGAACGGCACACGGATACAGGTGAGCTACACCATAATCATACCCGTGTAACCCACCATAATCATACATACATGTGCTGTGGGGGTGTAGGCAGGGGCTGCTGTTGGAAACCACGGGGCCCCATACAGCCAACCTGACAGGGCCCCCCCAATAAACACAGTTTACGATGTTTCAGTTATGAAGTAACACAGTGAGTGATTGGTGCCAATGTCTCATTGTGGTCATTCAGGTAAATGTGACATATTTACAGGACCCTGCCCCCGCTCTCCATCCTGAAGGATCCTATTGTGTGTTTGAAGCTGTCAGTGGGAAGAAGAGGAGGGAAGCCAGCAGCACTGCGGGGGTAGGGGACACACACAGGGGGAAAATGTATGGTGCACAGCGATGGTGATTAGTGTGACATTTTGGAGCCGATTCCCTGTATGGCTCTCTGCAGCAGCTGAAAGCTGGTGGGAAGGGAAGGAGAAGATGCCAGCTTTCAGCTGCTGCAGAGAGAGCCATACAGGGGATTGGTTCCAGTAATTGCCCCCCTGCTGTGTCGATCACCCTCCCTGCCCACATACAATTCACCCAGACCCCCTGCTGGCTTGGGCCCCGTACAGGAGGACCAGTGGTACCCCCACTTATCCACAGCCCTGGGTGTAGGATTATACTAAAAATGTCCTTAAGTCCCAAAATATCCATGGTAGCGCCTCAATGAGACTGAAGAAATCTCTGCAATATGTAAAGTAAAGAGCAGAGGGCGCCTACTAAGTACAGTGTATAAGAAAAGACTTGACACCCCTTGACACTGATTGCACGCAAATATGCGGCCTCTCGGCATCTGGGCCTTGACGCTGAGCGGCCGTATATTTGCATGCAATTAAAAATACATATGTGCACGCTCCCAGCACATATGTCCACTACTCGCCGGAAAGGTCCCAATCTCCCCTTTCAATCGGGACCTTTTCCGTTCATGTGACCGCCGTGACGGCAAATCACAGCGGTCACATGACACTAAAACCCCGCCCCACCTCCCGCCTTCTGAAACTCTTAAAGGGCCCCAAGGCGCCGCTGCCAAGAGGTTAAAAAAAACAAGTGGCAACTCACAAAGTGCATAAGGACAAGATCATGTCATCCACCCAGTGCAATTAGCTGTTGAGTCCCAGTGTTTCTTCAACAGGCAGGAAGCAGATGCCGCTGTCTGGAGCTGTGTAGGACACCAGAAACAAAATCGGAAATCCTGGAGCCATCCAGGAGTGTGTGGACTGCACAAGACTGGAAAAGTCTTTACACCTGGGAGGGCCACAACATGGGAATCAAAGCTACAGTACGTGTTTCAGAACAAAATGCACTTTTACTGCACTTAGTTGTTGCCCTCTGCCATTTTCCTTTAGTTTACAGGGCTACATCAGGTCATCCTGTAACCTCACCTAGCTTGTGACAGTAACAGGAGAAACATCACAGGGATGAGCTCGTCTCTCATCACTCTACATTCCCTGAGCAGCATAGGAGTTGATTGGTTCCTTGTGCTGCTTCTTCCTCCCTGATCTCCCACCGAACAATCCATGTTGAGTCAACAATGCTGCGGTTACAAAGCATTGCAACTGCGGTGTGAAAACGCCCCTGTCTGTTGCCTATTGCAGCTTAAGGGGGTGGTATTGCAGCTTAAGGGGGGGGGGGGTGAAAAACATGGCTCAATAGCACACTTTTGCTGCCCTCCTAAATGAGACCTCAAGCTTTATCAAGAAAATACTTTACCTGAGTAACAAGCATTGGCCCAATTGTATTGGTTTTATACATTTTCATCATGTCTTCCGCTGTGGCTTCATACAATGAATGAAAGACTGCGATTCCAGCATTGTTTATCAGCAAATTCAATCCCTGTCCATTCAGTCTTTCTGTAATATCCCCGTAGGCTTCTTCAATGCTTGTTGAATTGGTTACATCTATCAATAGAAATACAACTCTAAATCAAATGTTGCCAGGGGCTTTATTTTCACCATTGTTATTAAAGATTTATATGGCACCATATGTCACCATTTCTGTTGAAGCGGTAGTAAACCCCAAACCAAAAATGTGGTATATTGCAGCTTACCAATCATTAGATGTCATGGCTGCATTGGTTTTCTTTTTTTAGACTTTTTTCTTTTATTTTCACCTGGTGACTTGGTCAGTAACACCCCTCCGGTATTAGGGTGTCCCCACTCTGGATGAAGGAGCACAGGGGACACCTTTGGACAGCAGCATTGTCAGTCTGGGGGGAGGGGGAGTGTTAGATGTAGTAGCAAATTTAGATACACTAACAAATTGGTTGGGACCAAACTCCAGCTCATACTGCAGTTATAGGCACATTTTTCACTTTTAGGATAAAGGTTTTACATAAATAAACAAAAGCTGATCATTTTAAGCGTCCCTGTCAGTGGTAAACGCTTTGTCTCAACCTTCTAACTACAGGAGAGCTTATTCTGTTGAAAAACAGCAGTCTTACTAGCTAGATCACCAGGTGAAAATAGAAGAAAGAAAGCCTAAAAAAGAACACTAATGCAGCCATCACATACTAGGCAAGCTGCAATATGATACAGGTTTGCTTTTGGGTTTAATACTGCTTTAAATACTTATAAAAAAGAGCAAATAAAAAAATACGTAGCAAATAATCAGGAAAGTGTTGGTAGGGTGTACTCCTTCCCTTTGGATATCAGCACATGGCAAAGGGAGAATCATTTCACATTTGTGATCTCAGGGAACCTGCAGTGAAATGCATACATACTTGCACATTATGGCAAGTGCTCCTAAGGACTTGCGGCAGCTCAGATCTTTTTTTACTTACAGTTAGATTATTATACAGGATCAGGGGCAGACTGACAACTCATGGGGCCCCCAGGCAATAGGGGATCATGGGGCCCCTGTGTCCTTGCCCAAACTCAAAAAAACCTATGAAAAAGGTACCAGGGGCATCTCATGGGGCCCCCTACGGGCCCTCGGGCAGTGCCCGAGTTTTCAAATGGTCAGTCCGCCCCTGTCTCTGTGTATCACCCAAGACCAGTCACTTCACCTTTGGGGAGTGCGTATCTGATTTTGACAGGCACCTGCTCCCACTTACGCTCCAACCACCTAGGTGATCAGGAGCAGAAATTCTCCTCTCCCCTCAGTCTTCTGGGACAAGTGACATATCCCAGAAGACTGCATGCGCAGTGGACACCCGGCTGTGAAGCCGCAAGCTGTCACATATTTGTAGATACTCCCCAAAGGTGCCAATTTTTAACAGGGAGCGGGGAATGAGTCCTTAAAGTGAAACTTCCCCTTTTGGGTGGAGCTCCACTTTAAGTGTTAAAGGACCAGTGTCTAAAATAACTTATTGTGAATACTATGTGTGCGATTAAGTACAATACAATATTTTTTTTCACAGTAGTCGAAGTGACTTTTTAACCACTTGCCCATGTATATAAACGGCCAGACGGGAGCAGTGCAGGGGCAGGTGGCCGTTTATAAATGTCCACCCCGCTTCCCTGCCTCTGCGCGCTCAGGACACCGCGGAACACCAATCGCTGTACGGGACCTCTGTGTCAGGTCCCGATCATATGATCACTGATTGGCCAATCAGTGATCACATGAATAGTAGTAAGCAAGATGTCACTTCTGACATCATTGCTTACTACTTGTGAAATCTGTGAATGATCACAGAGGTCACATGGTACAAGGCTATTCACAACTGCCTTGTACCATGTGACAAGCTGTGACCAATCACAGCTCTCACAGTATTTCTCAATGGCTGCAAGAATGCAGCCAGAGAGAAATAGAAATGATTGCTTTTACAGCCTTTATGGGTGTAAAAGCAATCCGTGTAAAAAAAAAAAAATCTTCATCACCCCTCACAAGTAGTACAGTATTACTATGGTGATGCTATACTGCTAGGGTGACAGTATGTTAAAAAAAAAATTATATATATATATATATATATATATATATATATATATATATATAAAATAAAATAAAAATGTAAAAAAAAATTTAGAAAAATAATAATTTTGGTTATAAGCCAATTTGTTTTTCGGTTTTTTTTTTTCCACTAAAAAAATAGCTGAATACATTTTGGCCAAGATTTATGAAGCAAGTTTATTTATTTACAAAATGTTATAAGAAAAACACTTTCTTTTCAAAATGTTTGCATTTTTTCATTTATATAGCAAGGAGATACAGTAAAATTCCCAGTGGTGAATAAATACCACCAAAATAAAGTTTTATCGCTCTCAAAACAATGCTAAAAAATTCATATGGGTACAGTGTTACATGACCACGCAATTGTCATTCAAAGTGTGATAGCACTGAAAGCTGAAAATTGGCCTGGACAGGAAGGGGGTGAAAGTGTCCGGACTTGAAGTGGTTAAAAGAGACTTAACCCGTGCGAATACATGGTAACATATGTGTAAGCACCCCGGCAGTGTTATCATTTGTGGCAACCCTTTTTACTTTTTTGTGACAGATTGGTCAGCATGTAAATGTGAACAACATTAAAAGTTGATCATCCCTTTTTCAATAATATAATAGGAAATACCACTTTTATTTGCAAATGAGTATTGATTTTTCGGCTATACAACTACAGTGTTTTTAACTGAAAGGATCCTGTTGCAATCCAGAAAAATAAGGCGTGAAATTTTTCACCATAATCTGGCTTATTTTGAGTATAATAAAGACTTACCCAATCTGACAGCAGCAAGGTTTGAGTGTTTTGAGGAGAGAGATTTTAGTTCCTGTTAAAAAAAATCAAAAAGACATTGGGTACCGTAAAGCATATACTGTATTATCATGGTGTCATAAAATATGTAAACTTTTATTCATTTCAGTTGCTTATATAGTGCCGTCAATGTACGCAGCCCTTTACATACAGTGCATCCAGAAAGTATTCACAGCGCTTAACTTTTGCCACATTTTGTTATGTTACAGCCTTATTCCAAACTGGATTAAATTCATTTTTTTCCTTAACATTCTGAAAACAATACCCCATAATGACGTGAAAAAAGTTTTTAAATCTTTACAATTTATTAAAAATAAAAAACGAAAAAAAACCACATGTACATAAGTATTCACAGCCTTTGCTCAATACTTTGTTGAAGCACCTTTAGCACCAATTACAGCCTCAAGTCATATTGAGTATGAAGCTACAAGCTTGGCACACCTATTTTTGGCCAATTTCTCCCATTCTTCTTTGCAGTACCTCTCAAGCTCCATCAGGTTGGATGGGGAGTGTTGGTGCACAGCCAAATTCAGATCTCTGCAGAGATGTTCAATCGGGTTCAAGTCTGGGCTCTGGCTGGGCCACTCCAGGACATTCAGAGTTGGCCCGTAGCCACTCCTTTGCTATGTGGGCTGTGTGCGTAGGGTCATTGTCCTGTTGAAAGAAAAACCATCACCCTAGTTTAAGGTCCAGAGCACTCTGGAGCGGGTTTTCATCAAGGATGTCTCTGTGCATTGCTGCATTCATCTTTCGTTTGATCCTGACTAGTCTCCCAGTTCCTGCCACTGAAAAACATCCTCACAGCATGATGCTGCCACCACCATTCTTCACTGTAGGGATAGTATTGACAGGTGGTGAGCGGTGCCTGGTTTCCTCCAGACATGACGCTTGGCATTCAGGCCAAAGAGTTCAATCTTTGCTTCTTCAGACCAGAGAGTTTTGTTTCTCATGGTCTGAGAGTCCCTCAGGTGCCTTGTGGCAAACTCCAGGCGGGTTGCCATTTGCCTTTTACTGGCTTCCATCTGGCCAGTCTACCATACAGGCCTGATTGGTGGAGTGCTGCAGAGATGGTTGTTCTTCTGGAAGGTTCTCCTCTCTCCTCAGAGAAACGCTGGGGCTCTTTCAGAGTGACCATCGGTGCTTGGTTACCTCCCTGGCTAAGGCCCTTCTCTCTCGATAGCTCATTTTAGCCCCACTCTAGGAAGATTCCAGGCGGTTCCAAACTTTTTCCATTTATGGATGATGGAGGCCACTGTGCTCATTGGGACCTCCAATGCTGCAGAAATGTTTATGTACCCTTCCCCAGATCTGTGCCTTGATACAATTCGAAGGTCTATGGACAATTCCTTGGACTTCATGGCTTGGTTTGTGCTCTGACATGCACTGTTAACTGTGGAACCTTATATAGACAGGTTTATGCAAACTCCAAGCAAGTAGAGCCATGGTTGGGAATTGAACCGACAGCCCTAGTGCTGCTAGGCAAAAGTGGTAACCACTCTTTACCATGTCTATATGCCAAAATGCATTGAGTTGTTGCCATGTGATTGGCTGATTAGCAATTTGTGTTACCAAGCAATTGAACAGGTGTACCTAATAAAGTGGCCAGTGAGTGAACATATATATATATATATATATATATATATATACACATATATATACATATCTTCCACCTTTGTGTTCGCTACAGCCCCCATAACAATTCTTTACAATTGATATTTTTCTCAGCAGGATTCATCATAAAGGCCTAGAGAGATAAAAATAAGGGCAATAGAAAAAAGGGATGGACTACACAAGAAAAAAAGCAGATAATGTGAAATACTCCCAAATTATTCAACTACTAAGACCCAATCTAAAGAATATTTTTCCTACTCCAGCTCCTAGGCTACATAATCAGTACCACAGGGCCACCTGCAGCCTCCAGGTTGGACATCAGGGCTGTAGACAATATACTCTTTTAGATACTTCATATAAGCTACATTAATAGTTGATGAAGGGTAGCCCATGAAGACTACCTGGACTGCCTGAAGACATTGCTAACCAGCATCCCTAGATTACTCTGAAATTATTTGCTGAGGAAATCTGACAAGATCCATGTCCTCTAAGGATACCAGGGCAGACTATAGTCCGATGATGGACCTCTAATCAAAGGATGGACGAGTCCCTGGATTTTCCAAAATCTTTGTGCCATTAAAGGACCTTCCACATTTAGTATAAAAGTAAGGTTCTATATGCAGGAAAATGTTCACATACCGGAGCCGAATCTGGATTTCGGCATGCTGCGAAGATGTGCATTGGTGGGCCCTGTTTGTTAAGAAACGCCTTTACCAGTTCCAAGCCAATTCCCCTGCTGGAGCCATTTACAAGGACACTGCGGATAATGAGGTTTGCCATCTTCTGTCACCGCTTCACGAGTTCTGTGTCTTTGCTGTGAACACACAAGATTTTGCTCTTAGCACATTTCTGGTAATAAGATGCTAACAAATGTTCATGTAAAACAACACACACAGAAACCCCATGTAAGTCTTAAAGTGGAACACCAGCAAAAACATTTTTTTGATTCAGTTTTGGACAGAGTGGAGAAGGATTAGTAGTAGGATTAATGATCACATCACAGTCCCCTTTTTTTTTATATCAGAAGTCCCCCTTTTCACATAAGAAGCTCCCAATCACATCAGAGCCCCCCCTTCATTTCAGAGCCCAATTTTACATTAGAGCCCCCCTTCACATGAGAAGCCCCCTCTCTTTCCCATCAGAGTTTCTATGGGCCTGGTAAAATCTTGTAGTGGGCCGTATGTGGCCCACAGAATTTAGTTTGGAAACCCCACAGTGCAGCGCGTTTTTAATTATAATTATTTTTGATAAATCCCTGTATTAGAATTTTGTGCAAGCTGCTCAGTCACATTAGGCATTGTAACTAGTGCAGATACTTTTACACATGTAATGCATAGTGCAGGGATCAGGACTAAGTAACACAGAGTGCAAGGGTCAGGAGCAAATACTGCAGAGTGCAGTGATCATTAGTAGTAAGTAATACAGTGTTCAGAAGTCAGGAGTAAGTAACACAGAGTTTAGGGGTCAGAAGTAACACAGAGGTTAGTAGGAGGTAACAAAGAGTACAAAGGTCAGTAAAACAGAGTACAGGGGTCACTAGTGAGTAATACGGAGTGAAGTCATTAGGAGTAAGTAACGCAAAGTTCAGATGAGGAGGAGGTAACGCAGAGTGCAGAGGTCAGAAACGTGTAATGCAGAGTGCAGGGGTCAGGAATATGTAACACAGAGTCATTAGGATGTAACGCACACTGTAGAGGTCATTATTATGTAATGCACTGTACAGGTTTTAGGAGTAAGCAACAGAGTACGGGGTAAGTAGTGAAAAATGCAGCATTCAGAGGTATGGAGTGAGTAGCACAAAGTGCAGAACCCAGTAGTAAGTAATACATAATGCAGGGGTCAGTATTAAACAACAGTGTTCAGAGGTGAGTAGAGGTCAGTAGTGCACATTGCAGGGTAAGGACTAAGTAACACAGAGTGCAAGGATCAGGAGTAAGTAGCGCAGAGGTCAGTAGTAACACAGAGTTCAGATATCAGGGTAAGTAATGCAGAGTTTGTATGGCAAAAGTGCAAGAGTCATTAATGCAGAGTACAGGTCAGTTGTAAGTAGTACAGAGAGCAAGCATCAGGAATCTGTAGAGTAAGTAATGAAAAGTTTAGAGGTCAGGAAAAAGTAACACAAAGTGCAAGGTTCTATAGCAGTGTTTCTCAACCAGGATTTGCGAGGAACCCTAGGGTTCCTTCAAAGGTTGCCAGGTGTTCCTTGAGCAATTTTTGCCTCCCAGGTACGTTCTGTGGCAGTACGGTATCCTGCCACGGTGGAAATCATGATGGAGACCCAGGATTCTCAACCATGCAGGCTGAGGGGCTCCAGGCAGATCTCATAATGCAGAGGAAACTGGTTTATCAGTTTCCTCTTTGGTTTGTAAAGCCTGTTTTGGGACCTGTAGCCTGGAGATTTCTAAGAGATTTGGGAGGGATAAAATCTCCAATCCTGGGCCCATATTTTGGGAGCAGCCAGCGTGCTGATTGCACAGGTGTGTGCAGGCCTTTTTGTGGAGGCCAGGCCATGATTCTGAGCTCCACCCCGGCAGACGGAGTCAGGAGGGCTCCTCCCCGGCAGACAGGAGGTCTCTGCTGTGGAATCAGGTGGGCTTCACCTAGTAGAGGTGGGAGCCAGAATAGCTGTGTGCTAAAGGTTTGCTGTGTGCAAAAACAACCTTGTGGAAGGAGTCTGTAGGAGACAGATATAAAGTTGTGTAGCTGAAAGAGCCAGAAGGCTGAATTGGTTTGATGGTGGATACCCCTGTGTGGGAAGCATTTTATGTTTCTGGAACTGTTTCCTTTAAATAAAATTGGGCAAAAAAGGCCCTTAAAAAGAAGCGAGTTGCTGTGTGCTTTGAAGAAGCTCTACCACTGGAAGCGAGTTTTCACAGTTCCCACTGACACCATTGATCTTTTTAGCAATATGTATGGAGGTAATTCTTCCCAATGACCGCAAGTGTAAGGAGCATTCTTTCCTCTGATTATCACACTAATGTATCATGAATTGTAGATAAATTCATTTTTAGCAGGGGTTCCCTGAGACCAGAAAGTTATGTCAAGGGTTCCTCTACGTTGAAAAGGTTGAGAAAGGCTGTTCTATAGAATGCAACGCAGAGGACAGAGGTCAGTCATGTAATGCAGAGTGCAGAGGTCAGGAGTAGTCAACGTATAGCACATCTCCCCTTACAAGCAAAATTGCCCTCCTGCCTGTGTGAACCTCCCCCTCCTAAGCTAAAATAGCCCCTAGCAGAAATTTCCCTCTCCCTTCCTGAAAAGTACTCACCAGACCTCACATGCTTCGGTTCCTGGCAGAGCCAGGCAAGTCCTCCCACGTCTCCCCTCCGCTGTATATAATAACCTATGACATCCCTTGGCTCTGCAATGCACCTCTGATCTGAGAACCAGTAAGGGGGTCAGGAACTGGTGGCATGGTCATGATCTACCTGTTACATGCCTGTGATCTATGAGTAGATTGGGATTTATGGGCAAATTTTAAATCTGAGCTTACACAGGGCTGGATTTCTTTACTTCTGGGTGAAAGGTAAACATGCATTGCTGAACAGCATTAGATGAACTGGTTTTGCTCCATTCTGGCAAAGCAGTTTCACTTTAAGACAGCACAATAATACAATAGTAACCTACAAACTCCAAAAAGACACTATTTAGACATATGGACAAATTACGAGTTCCGACACAGAGCTGTAACCATTCTATATCTGCAGTTTGAGGAAAACAAGGCACACATTTATTTTTAATTAATTTCTACTAGTCAACAGGTGATACTTTTTTTTATACATTTATAAAACACATTCACTGCAAACCGAACATTCTGTAAATACATTTATTTACCGTCTATCTTGTCTTCTTGCTGTGCATCAACATAGCTGTCTTGCTTTAGTTTTCAAAAAGTAAATGTTTACATCACCATGTAAATCTATCTACACACACAGAGCCATGTCTGCATACAGTATATAGATCTACTCTACTGTCCCTGCGTACAGCCACAGTTACCATTGGTTCTTCTCTGTTCCTGCCCCTTCACAGACTCGCTCCCCCTCCCTTTTCAGACTTTTCACGTCACCACTGAATACTTCTCTCTCCTCTGACATTGTAGTCAGTCCTACTGAAAGCGGAAATACAATTTAAAAACTGAAGAGATGTCTTGGTAATTGAGTTCTTTGTTAGAAACAAACAGGCGGTTCTTCTGAAGGAGAGAAAACTAATATTTATATACAAAAAAAAAAAAAAAAAAGCTGCTATTGCTGTTTTCCAGAACGTACATATACATAATTTCCACTTTGCCACAGTTCAGTAATTTGTGGACATAGGACAAAATAATAAACCAAAGCGCTTGGGGGTTCCAAATAGCATTGACTTGGGATTAGCCAGCCTATATGCCAACCATTGTGAAGAAAATGGCAGTCGCTATAAGCAGAGTGATATAGACAAAGTTTTTATTATGCATCTATCACAGCCAAAGATCATATTAAAAAACACTAAAAATCCATGAACGCATGGGATACAAGAACCCTGCAGGTATAGTTAGGGGGATATAGTTAGTTTTTAGGCAAAGACTAAGAAGTAAGGATGGGCTGTATGTTCGAGTCGAACATTAGTTCAACTCGAACATTGGCCATTCGTGTGTTCGGTGAATACATGAACGGTAAAGGCGTTTGGCGGGCTACTCGCCTGCCACATATCACAATACACTGCACCCTGGCAGTGCATTGTGATTGGCCAAAGAAATGCACCTGAACATTTTGCCAATCATAGCACATGTGACGTCATCACACTATTTAAGAACTGTCATCCTGGCGCAGCTGTCAGACGTCGGGAGCCAACATCGAGAGCTGAGCATTTTTTTTCTTTTTTCGGGTTGGCGGTGGTGGCTGCGGGCATCAGGATTGACATTGGATCTACTTTGGAGGACAGAGTGTCTCCTGTTGTTTTTACACTACACCTTTTTTTTTGTGAATGGGTAGCGGTACCATGTACCCCCCCACTTCACATGGGGGGGGGGGGGGGGGGCAGACACAAGCGATCTTTACTTTCACTTTCCATTGTTTACTATGTGAATGCTCTGATTGGTCACAGCAGTCACATGGTAAAACACCATGTAATCACCCGGACACAGCGGTAACGTGATCCGCTGTGTCCAGGGGACACACCGATTGTCAGGCTCCGAGGTGCACACTCTGTGAGCTGCCCAGGAGCCATCGATGTGGACTTGACTTACAGGTATGTTAGACTACATCAGCAAAGCTTCCCATCCACCGCCTATGTACAGTGGGCAGAGGTTAAATATGGTTGAGCCTGATCAGCAGGGTGTAGTGTGTCAAGTGGAAGATGAAGTGAAGGCTGGAGTGTGGAGTCTGGGAGGGGGCCAAGGGGATGAGCCTACCTACAGGCAGGAGCTGACAGGAGGATCCCTCTGCCTCATTATCCCAGAGAGAGGACATCCTGTGGGGCAGCGAAGGAGCCAGCCCAGCGTGAGGCCTGAAGGCAGCTACTAACCCACCAAGCTCACAGGAGAGACAGCGTGAGTAATCCTACACACCCTGGGTCAGATAAGGGGAGAGGGCAGTCATGTGGAAAACCCAACTAGCTTCTCATCTGGGGCTGCTTTACTAAGTGACAGTTTCTGGGTCCCCTTACCCAGGGATAGCTTCATGCAGCTGGGTGAAGAGGAGGATTCATCTGGGGGTCTGAGGTGGTAAACCAGGTGGGCTGGAGAGCTCTTCAAAGGAGAGACTTCTTGTCCATGGATTTGTACGTAGTTGCTAAGGAGTTTGTCC